GATGGAATGCCTCGTTCGCGCAGAAATAGCAACGCTTCCAAAATATGTCGACCAAACCGTTGCACCTGCGGCAATGTCAAACAAATTGACTTTTTTGCGTATTTACGTCTCCATGGCTCATTCCACCGTATCGCCTTGGACCACATGCGTAATTTTTCGCGAATGAATTCAAAAAACGGGAGATTATCCAACAAAATGAATACACGCATCGATATTAATTTATTATAATGAACTATAGCTTACTTTGTAAATATAATCTTTGAGGCTGCCACGCTCATTGATCGGCATAACGAGACACGCGAAATTCGTTTGGTTCGAATTGAAAATGCCCAGATCTAGCACTGGATAAATGTATGGATGTTGCAATGAAGCGAGCAATTCCATCATTATTCCTTTTGGTGAATTGAAAGGGGCTAGTTCCTCCAGGGCAACACAATCGGCTGGTAATGGAATCCACGTCATCAGACGATTCGTTCGGACTGTTGTATCGTTCAGCAAGAACCAGTTTTTATCCTCTCTAAAGCCGATAGTATCCAAATGGGCCATGATCTTGTAACGGCCATCCGATTTCTCTACCCATTCTTGGCTCGAAATGTATGCTAGTTCACGCAACGCTCGTTCTGGTGGTGTTGGTTCGGCAGCTCTCTGGAATTTCATGCTTTTCCTACAAAAAATTTTGCACAAAATTATTCAAAGCACAGCGGATTGACAGCATTGAAATGTGAAATGTACATTGTACACTGTACAGTTATAGTTATAAACTTTATAATATAAAGCACACAACTTCTCACACTAATAATTTGTTATACCATAAATTTTCCATCCACGTGGTTGACGATGAGCTGGTCACCTTTTTTGGACTGTGTTGTAGCGAATTTGAGCGATTGAATAGCATTTTAGTGAAAGTTTCTAGTTTCGAACTGACTTTTGGAGGATTTTCGGTTTGTTCACATTCCGAAATGTCGGCATTAATATCTGTCTCTGACTGTGTTCGTGTTACAACTTTCCGACGATGTTTTCGTAACGGAAACCTATACCAATACAATTTGATTATTACATTGTTTCTTTTAAATATTTTGGGATAAAAATCTGGTTGATGAAATAAATTTCAGATAAATTGGATAATATTAAAAACCAATTTACTTGGATTTATTATAGCGGGTGTGATAATATTCAATTCTCTCTCTTTCAAGCTGTTCGGCAGTTTTGGAGGATATTGAAAATTGCATTATGAAGAAATCTGGAACGAAACATTTTTAGAATAAATTAAAAACAGAAATGGGAAGAATTACGAATTTCGTCGTGATTTTTGTTTATCTTGATTTGAATAATATCCGGATAATATCATTTGGATTCTATCTCACTTGATTTATGTTGTCCAAAAAATGTTGCAATGCTCTTGAAAATCAATCGTATACCGATGTATGGACCTTTTTACGCTAGCTACTTTACTATTTCTGTCAATTTCTGCTGAATCTTATTGAAAAAAAAAGCTTAGATCCAAAATATTTCATCTATACTATTCTATTTCGACATATAAATGCTTTTTCACATTCTTTTGAACTACTCGATTCATTCAAATTTATCTATTGAAAATATTGTCAAAATAACGTGAAAATTTTCTTGTAATTTGCGTGAAAATAATTGTTACTACGTCTAAATGACGAAAGTGTCACATTTTCCTTGACATTTCCAAGACTTCAACATGAATGAGCTTTCTCCAGTTTTTCCACATTTTCCCCATCGTTTTCATTTGTACTGTCAAAACCGTGGATGTGCGTGTTTAGCGAGTGTGGCAACACTCAAACGACAGTTTATTTACTTTTCATCGTATGTCTGAAAACTCGATGGAATCGTATGTCTTGCCATGCGCCGCTGCAATGTTTTGATTCGGTTCCTGTTTCAGTGACATTTGTATATAATGTACGATTTTGCAGGTACACATTTTTCCAAGTGACGTCATACATTTTAATGAAGAAAAGTCACAACACGCTGGCATGTAAACAGCATTACTTTTATTGTGTAGAAAACATGAAGATAATACACATTTAATGTTATAATTTCAATAGAAATTGTCTGCAATATATCATGGGTGAGACTAAGAGTAGTGTATGAATTTGCAAAAGACAATAAACCATAGATATTAATATCTGTGGTGAAAAAATATTTAAAATTTGCTGGCCTTGAAAACATACTCTACTTCTTAAAAAAATGCGAAGTATTTGAAGCTACTCTCTCAGCGCTACTCTCAATCTCACCCATAGATATAATGAATATTTGTTATTCTATATTGACTTTACCTATTTTGAACACATTTTATGGTCAAACACATTGTTCTTATTAATCAATTGTTAATTATTTTAGTTGGATGGCTGATTCCCTGAGAATGATTCCTTTATTATGAGTAGTAGTTGACAGAACTTTGTTTTACGCACACAAAAGCGATATTTTAGACACAAAGAGATGAATTTTATGTAGTAAAGCTAGTTTGTATGGAGTTCCTAGATGGTTCGTTTGTTCTTGCTAACTATACCAGTTCAGTGTATATATGGTCAACGCTTCGTTGACGACCGTAGGCCGCGTTCCTGTCCGTTGACGGATCAAATGGATCGACTACGATTTGTTCAGTTCCTTTGATTTCAGCTCGACAGAAAGGACAACCGTTCCCTTCGGAATCTAATTGCCAAGCGCTCAAGCACTGAATGCACAGCAAATGACCACATGGCTCTAGTCGTATATCTTTGTTATTTTCCGTGCATATTTTGCATAACTGGAATGTGCTGCCCATTTTCCGGTATTGCTCGTATTGTTCTTGCGTCACAGTTACATGACCCTCCAAAGCCCCAGCAAATGAAAGATCGCTGTACGAACCATTTATTGAAGCATAGCATGGTGATTCATCAATTTCACAGTACGGACGATTCAAGGGAGCATCTTGTCTTCGCCGAACTGCATCCAAGAGATTCGATGTAGATGTACTTAAATCTGGTTTGAGCGCCTGTAAGAGACAGAAATTAATATCACTTTTTCGGTAATAAATTGGAATTGTGAATGAAAATAACCTCACCGAAATTGATGCTCCCCTCATTTCACGTAATTCGACGTGTCGGAATAAATCAGATCGCACAAGTTCCGCAACAGTTGGATATCGATCACCGGGAGATTCAAAAATCCATTGCAGCACTTTGACCACCTTTGGATATCGTTCCAAGTCTAAGAACAAGTTGTCAGCGGTTGGGCGAGGTGTTAGCAATTCAAATCCCGTGCACATTTCAAAGAGTAAATGGCCAAAGCAAATAACATCCCTGTGTTCAACATCAGCAATATTCTTTGCCGAATCAACCGCATTCACTTTTGAGTCTAGGCCGAGTAAACCATTTTCCAATCCCGATAACCTAAAGTATTTTCGACGAGTGTCAAATCAGGTGACATAAATAAATCCAAAAACAATTACCTGGCAACACCATTTTGTAGTATGACATTGCCGCTATGCAAGTGGCCATGTGATGGAATGCCTCGTTCGCGCAGAAATAGCAACGCTTCCAAAATATGTCGACCAAACCGTTGCACCTGCGGCAATGTCAAACAAATTGACTTTTTTGCGTATTTACGTCTCCATGGCTCATTCCACCGTATCGCCTTGGACCACATGCGTAATTTTTCGCGAATGAATTCAAAAAACGGGAGATTATCCAACAAAATGAATACACGCATCGATATTAATTTATTATAATGAACTATAGCTTACTTTGTAAATATAATCTTTGAGGCTGCCACGCTCATTGATCGGCATAACGAGACACGCGAAATTCGTTTGGTTCGAATTGAAAATGCCCAGATCTAGCACTGGATAAATGTATGGATGTTGCAATGAAGCGAGCAATTCCATCATTATTCCTTTTGGTGAATTGAAAGGGGCTAGTTCCTCCAGGGCAACACAATCGGCTGGTAATGGAATCCACGTCATCAGACGATTCGTTCGGACTGTTGTATCGTTCAGCAAGAACCAGTTTTTATCCTCTCTAAAGCCGATAGTATCCAAATGGGCCATGATCTTGTAACGGCCATCCGATTTCTCTACCCATTCTTGGCTCGAAATGTATGCTAGTTCACGCAACGCTCGTTCTGGTGGTGTTGGTTCGGCAGCTCTCTGGAATTTCATGCTTTTCCTACAAAAAATTTTGCACAAAATTATTCAAAGCACAGCGGATTGACAGCATTGAAATGTGAAATGTACATTGTACACTGTACAGTTATAGTTATAAACTTTATAATATAAAGCACACAACTTCTCACACTAATAATTTGTTATACCATAAATTTTCCATCCACGTGGTTGACGATGAGCTGGTCACCTTTTTTGGACTGTGTTGTAGCGAATTTGAGCGATTGAATAGCATTTTAGTGAAAGTTTCTAGTTTCGAACTGACTTTTGGAGGATTTTCGGTTTGTTCACATTCCGAAATGTCGGCATTAATATCTGTCTCTGACTGTGTTCGTGTTACAACTTTCCGACGATGTTTTCGTAACGGAAACCTATACCAATACAATTTGATTATTACATTGTTTCTTTTAAATATTTTGGGATAAAAATCTGGTTGATGAAATAAATTTCAGATAAATTGGATAATATTAAAAACCAATTTACTTGGATTTATTATAGCGGGTGTGATAATATTCAATTCTCTCTCTTTCAAGCTGTTCGGCAGTTTTGGAGGATATTGAAAATTGCATTATGAAGAAATCTGGAACGAAACATTTTTAGAATAAATTAAAAACAGAAATGGGAAGAATTACGAATTTCGTCGTGATTTTTGTTTATCTTGATTTGAATAATATCCGGATAATATCATTTGGATTCTATCTCACTTGATTTATGTTGTCCAAAAAATGTTGCAATGCTCTTGAAAATCAATCGTATACCGATGTATGGACCTTTTTACGCTAGCTACTTTACTATTTCTGTCAATTTCTGCTGAATCTTATTGAAAAAAAAAGCTTAGATCCAAAATATTTCATCTATACTATTCTATTTCGACATATAAATGCTTTTTCACATTCTTTTGAACTACTCGATTCATTCAAATTTATCTATTGAAAATATTGTCAAAATAACGTGAAAATTTTCTTGTAATTTGCGTGAAAATAATTGTTACTACGTCTAAATGACGAAAGTGTCACATTTTCCTTGACATTTCCAAGACTTCAACATGAATGAGCTTTCTCCAGTTTTTCCACATTTTCCCCATCGTTTTCATTTGTACTGTCAAAACCGTGGATGTGCGTGTTTAGCGAGTGTGGCAACACTCAAACGACAGTTTATTTACTTTTCATCGTATGTCTGAAAACTCGATGGAATCGTATGTCTTGCCATGCGCCGCTGCAATGTTTTGATTCGGTTCCTGTTTCAGTGACATTTGTATATAATGTACGATTTTGCAGGTACACATTTTTCCAAGTGACGTCATACATTTTAATGAAGAAAAGTCACAACACGCTGGCATGTAAACAGCATTACTTTTATTGTGTAGAAAACATGAAGATAATACACATTTAATGTTATAATTTCAATAGAAATTGTCTGCAATATATCATGGGTGAGACTAAGAGTAGTGTATGAATTTGCAAAAGACAATAAACCATAGATATTAATATCTGTGGTGAAAAAATATTTAAAATTTGCTGGCCTTGAAAACATACTCTACTTCTTAAAAAAATGCGAAGTATTTGAAGCTACTCTCTCAGCGCTACTCTCAATCTCACCCATAGATATAATGAATATTTGTTATTCTATATTGACTTTACCTATTTTGAACACATTTTATGGTCAAACACATTGTTCTTATTAATCAATTGTTAATTATTTTAGTTGGATGGCTGATTCCCTGAGAATGATTCCTTTATTATGAGTAGTAGTTGACAGAACTTTGTTTTACGCACACAAAAGCGATATTTTAGACACAAAGAGATGAATTTTATGTAGTAAAGCTAGTTTGTATGGAGTTCCTAGATGGTTCGTTTGTTCTTGCTAACTATACCAGTTCAGTGTATATATGGTCAACGCTTCGTTGACGACCGTAGGCCGCGTTCCTGTCCGTTGACGGATCAAATGGATCGACTACGATTTGT